TAATGTCAGTGGTTCAAACTCACCAACTGCTCCTTGGTAACCCTATACAGGATTGCTATGAGTTAGTCAGAACTGACTGGGCAACACTTAACAACAACAACTATCTAGGAGCCTAGAGATGAAAGTGTTCATGTTCTGACTGGGTGGTCTTTCTTTTTCACCTGTTTCTGAGGGTCTGCCTGAATGTACTCATGGAGAGTATTGAATCATTTTCTTATGTCTGATAAATCTCAGGATAGAATCCCTCTTTGGACAACTCTACTGGAAACTATAAAGAAAAAAGACGTTCTGTGAAATGTGATTCCAGGCCCAGTGGTAATGACGGGGTTGAAAAAAGATACCCAGCATGGTCATTAGTACCCTAAATTTCAGAATGTTACAATTAAGGGAAGGACCCAGAATTCACTTAGGGGTGCTTGCAAATATCTTTAGCAAGTCAGTGGACATAGCAAGACAATTTTATTAAGCCATCTAGTGAATAAGAAAATAAAGAAATTGCATTAACTACATAGGAATTTTTTTGAGAATATATGAAGACATTTCTTACATTAAAAAGAAATGAAATTGAAGATGTAACATTGTTCTTCTTTAATATTCTGCTCCAGTTTGTCCATAATCCAGCAGCATCCTGAGTATCCCTGGGAGCTTGTTAGAGATACTGGATTGCAGGACTCACTTTACATCAGCTGAATAAACATACACATTTGTCAAGATGCTAGGCCATCTGCATACATATAAAACATTTAAGAAGCTCAGTTGTAGGGTCTAATTACTTTAGCTAAAATGACCTCCTCCCTACCCACAGTGAAGACATTTATAAATATTTTTACTGAAATCCACATGGTGAAATTCCACCTGGTTTAATTTCCAATTATTGAAAAGCTTTGAAAATATTTTTAAGATATTAAAGATGAAAATGTGTTATTTAATCAATGCTATGGTTAAATACCTAGAAAATCACATGATGTAAAGTGCTTTATAAACTAAGGAAATTACTAACGTAAATAGATTAAACATTATGTGTATTTGTGTTTGAGATGTTTGGACTTAAACTGATTCATGTAAATTGATTTCTGGATTCTTTTCATTCTTGTAACTTGCCTTGAGAATATTGTTACCTAGGTAGTGTCCAGATCATACACAGTCCAGAGACTAAAAGCACGTTGTATCATGTCACAGCAAAATCATCAGCTACCTGCTGTGTAAATCAGTAAAATCATCACTGACCTGAACACTGTTAATTTGAAAATGAATGCTTAGTGTTATAAGACAGTGAATTTTTGAGAGTTTGCTACAAACCATTTGTAGAAATAAATTATGTGCTAATTCATTCATTATTAAGGAGACTTGTGTGACCATCTCCACCTTGTCTGGATCACTGCCCTCCTCCCCACATGGATTCACTTTTCATTCTATGTGGGCTCCAACATCCAGTGCAGGACTTCTACCTTCATTCTCTGTGTTCTTGTCTTTCTCTCCCTGCTGAGGCATGGACACACATAACTCAGCCATTTTGTTGTTGAGATAAACTCTGCTTTGTTGTTGTTAGGTGCCATTGAGTCAGTTCCGAATCATAGCGACTCTGCATAGGGTTTCCAAATTGCAGCTGGTGAACTTGAACTGCAGACCTTTTGTCCCAAACTGATCTTGTAGTCCAGTGAATTAACCCACAGTGCCACACCAGGACTCCCAAACTCTCTCTTAGATACCTGGAAAGATTTATTGATGAAGGAAAATGCTGGGTTAGAGGCCATAGTAAATTCATGAGGATAAATAAACACCTTGTCTAGAGAGGATTTAGATTCTCTAGGGAAGATTTTGGGTTAAAAGATGGTATAAGATTTGAGGAGTTCGGGAATCATCTACCAGGGAAATGCATAAAGGGAACCAGAATTAAAAAGGTCCCTGATATTTCATAGGTGTGGAAAGAGAAAATATTTTTTTCAGATATTCAATGACATAGAACTCAATTGTGAGCCAATACACTTAGAAATGGAAGTGGACAGATAGGCACATTGAAGAGGACAGGTTAGCAATGGTAGATAATCAGTGTCAGATTCATTTATACAAACCATGGCCCTTGGGCATTTGTTTTTAACTTTTTGTTGTGAATTGAATAAAGTTTTATAGACAAGATCTCAATAATTGTAATCCCCTTCATGCAATAACGGTTATCTTGCTTCTTTGCTGTGGTCATTACCATTCTATCCACCTTCCCATCATTTCTCAACTTTGTCCTTAGGCAAATTTGCATCAGTAATATATACAAAACACTACCTAGGCAAATTTGAATCAGTAATGTACACAAATCCAGATGGGTAAAAGTTCTTGCCTTCAGGGAGTCTTTCATAGTTGACAATCCCTTCTTAGATGGAAAGATACTAAGAATAGCGATCATAAATCTAGAAGAGACAAAAAAGGAAGAATCTACTCACCAGACCGTAGGCTGACTCTGTCGTGTTGCGCTATGCTGTCCGATGGTTGAACTGGGACACCTCGGAGGAACTGCCATATGCTGGTTTATTTAGAAAGCTTGATCTGCAGCTGCTCCCCACCTATGGCCCCTTCTGTGCAGATGTGCATATTCCCTAGAGTGTACCCTCAGGTCTCATTTACAAGCTGCCACAGACCTTACCAAGAATCACTCCCAGCCAGCAGGAATGTGACTGCCCTTTTTGAGCTCCTTGGCTTCCTACTCCTCTGGCTCCCAGATGAGGAATGAAAACAGAAAGCTTTAACTCACCGTGATGAAACTTCCTCTGTGAGCTAGATTTCCCTGCATGCCTCTTGGAGCTGAGACATGGGAATGCTGGCAGAACCACATGTGATCAGTATCACTTTGACCTTTAGGGCAGTTGCTCTTATAACATGATTAATGATTTGGATGTTTGTTTGGTTTTGTTTCTAATTTCAGATGTCAACTATGTCATCCAGATGATACCCAGCACATTTTGAAGGATAAAGGCCTGACAGATAGGAGTGTTAGTGATGCTGTAGGATAAGCACTGACTGTTAACCCCAAAGTCAGGTGTTCAAATCCATCAGCCGATCCATAGGGAAAAGATGAGTCTTTATGCTTTTGTAAAGGTATACAGCCTCAGAAACTCTATGCAGGGTATGTGTGAGTGGGAACTGGCTCAGTGACAATAGCAACAGGTCTGATAGAGGCTATGCTCTTAGACAGAGACTGTAGCTGATCCTGGCATCCTTACAGAAATCCAACTCAGACAGGAACACACTGGACCCTGGACAGAGATGTCTAGTTCAGGTCCTCTGGTTCCTGGTAATGTGGCTCCAGGTAAGAACAGGACCTAGAGGAAATTCATGTAATAGGGTCCACATACTCAAATAGACTGAGATTTCAGAATTTGATTAGCCTACATGATTTTGCTGTAAAGACCATGGAATAGGACATCACTGTTGCTTGGACCTTTGTGATTTCTTTCCACATTTGATTCTAATGTTCACAGTGTGATTCCTAGTGTTCAACTTCCCTCTTAATGTCTCCAACAGGAAAATTTCCAGAAATAAACCACATGCTACATGTATCCTCTCCATACTACATTCTCCTGCTTGGTGAAGGGGCAGTTGGACAGATTCTAAACTTAACAACTAGAAACTTGAAAACCGATGGTATTTCTGATGATTACTATGGAAAAGTGAACTGACAGGGTAATCACTAGTCACACATAGTTGTTATTTTTGTTGTTAAGTGACATTGAGTTCGTTCTGACTATAGTGACCCTGTATGGGGTTTACCAGGTGTGACTGGTGGGTTTGAATACTTGACCTTGTAGTTAGCAGTCCAATGTCTATCCTCCATTGCAACACCAGGATTCCAGCCACACACAGCTGAATAAATAATACCCTGAGTTGATTAAAATCTGATAAAAATAGATGTTTTGTTCCTCATTTACAGTAATCACATTTCAAGTGTTTAATGCCACCAATGATGTGTGGCTGCTATATTGTACAGCACAGATACACAGTTTCCTCATCACAAAAATGACTAATCAGTCACTCACAACATTGTAACTCAATGCCTGAACCTCACCATATGGTGGTCCAGGAGACTGTGTGGTCCCAGATACTTGCCCTGCTGGGATGGCTGCTGTGGTTTTCAGAGCCAGTCCAGGAAAGGTCTATAGGTTTGAGGAATGAGGCTGGTTTGACAGATCTAGACTAGAGCCTCTGCTCCCTAAACCTTCACTGCTTTTATCTCTTACAGGTTCCACTGTGGCCACGCTCTCTTTCCCAGAGTCTCAGTTGAATCACAGAAGCATAACTTTCTTGAGACCACTACCACTTTCTGAATTCCCAACTACATGTTAGTCTTTTGTCTTCATGTAATATACTGGTTTGTGGAAAACATGATTCATTTTGTGTTCCCTATAGAATATGGCCTAAAAATAGCTATAATGATGCTAGATCCAGAAATAACATATTCTGGTGAGAAGACTCACAGTCAAGACTTCCTTGGATCCAGCAGTTGAAATAGTACAAGATAGTATATCACAAAAATCCCATTAGGTGGCACCAAAACTGCATAATGAAAAAGAGACAGGGGCCCTATCTTAGAAATTCTTGGCAAAAAAAAATTAAAGCAATAACAACCAATTGTTATTAAGATGACTTAGACTTATGGCAATACAAAATGTTTTACAGTAGCACTGTGTTCCATAGAGTGTTCAGTAGCTTCTTGTTTCCTAATAGATCCTCAGCCCTATCTAGCATCACTTGTCTGGGTGGACTTGTACCTCAATCCTACTTAGCATAGGCATACTATGTGATACTATTTGTGATACTATTTGTATAGTGATACTATTTGTTTACTATTTGTATAACTTGGATTTTCAATTGAGTGATGCTGTTGTTGCTGATGTTAAGGGCCATTGAGTTGGTTCCAACTCATAGTGAGCCTGTAAAGGGTTTACAAGGAGTGGCTGGTGGGTTTGAACTTCTGATCTTATGGTTCAAACTGACCTTGTAGTCCAACACTTATACTACAGTGCCACATCAGGACTCCAATAAAGTGATGTCATACCATAATTGGCAAGGGAACCGGCCATCCCCTGGTTGTAATGGGATTCTAAGGTTTGCCCAGGGACACCATGGGATGGGCTGCCAGTGTGCTGAGTGGTAGAGAAACACATCTGTGATCTGTAACTGGAAGCCCTGATATGTCTCCCCAGATTATAACAAATATATATGAAGCTTGTGATATGAAGTCCCATTCTGAATAAAGAGTCTTAGCAACAGTGTACAGCCAATAAAATCTAGGAAGAGGAAAATCCATGTTAGTCTGAAGTTCCCTAGATAGGACTCTAACTGATTTTCTATGCTCATGAACGATTTATCAAAATTTAAAATGATGTATTTTATCAAAACTATATGGAATTTCTAAGGTTGTAAATCTTGATGAAAACAGACAGCCTCATCTTTCTCCTACAGAGCAGCTGGTGGGTTTGAACTGCACATTCTGCCAGCCAGTCTCCTACCCATAGGCACTTAGCTTTACTCAGTCCTTGAGCCTACAGCCTGTGGCTGCTCTGTCTCTCCATTCTACCGCCTCTACCATCACCTCTGCTGTGGATGCTCTTCCTTCTGATGTTTCTGGGATTCCTGCTTCTTTGAAACCTAGCTAGACCGCAGAACTAACTGATCCCAGCTTTAATATTCCTGTGTACCTTATTTGCATGGTCCCACCCAATCAGTTGGTGGGAATTCAGATTTGGATAGAGAAACTGTATCAAGTAAAGTCAAGGTCCCACACAGATGTTTACTAGTCTGAGACATTTTCATGAAGTTGCTGTTATCACCTGTTTATTCACTAAACTTCTGTCATTTTCTACGTTTTATTTTTCTATGGAAAGACAACTAACTACATGGAGCTTCTTATTCTTGTGTCTTGGTCCTTTTATCTCCGTTTTTATTTTTATGTTTTCTTTTTCATCTGCTTGTCTCTCTATAGTCATTTCCTAGAATGGTTGCCTAAGCCCTTTGCTGTAGCTTTTGAATCATATTGATCCTGTAGAACTGAGTAAAATTGTCCGGTAGCATTCCCAAGGCTATACTTCTTGTATATGCAGACAGTCAAATCTTTCTACTCTGGTGTACATTGCTGAGTTCAAATTGTAGACCAGGCCCCTTAATGTATATTTTGGAGAGCAAACATTTTCAAGATTAAAACACAGAATTATAGTCTATAGCATCCTAAGAAAATGACAAAGAAACAAACATACAAAATTGAATAAAAGAAATATGTAAATAAAATTTTAACACATAAAAGATGATGCATGCAACAACTCACAACTGAATTCCCCAGTTATTTCCTACTTTGATCAAGGTGCTGGGGTGCAAAATGCCTCTTAAAACTGGTGGTGGTTTTGTGCCATTGAGTCTGTTCTAACTCATAGCAACTATTTTTGAGGGTTTCTAAGGTTGTAAATCTTCACGGGAACAGAATATCTCATATTTCTCAAGAAGAGTGGCTGGTGGAGTTAACCTTTTGGTTAGCAACCTACCACACTACTGGGGCTCCTTCCAGACAACTTGTTGTTGTTAAGTGCTATTGAGTTGGTTCCAACTCATTGTGACCCTGTATAGAGTTTCCAAGGAGGAACTGGTGAGCTTGAACTGCTGACCTTGAAGTTCAAACAGTCTGGCATATTAACCCACAGTGCCACACCAGGACTCCTTCCCTATGCACTAATCACCTTTAAATGAAGGCCCAGGAAGATGTCAGTAATAGGGACACAGTTGTTGTTGTTAAGTGCCGTCGAGTCGGTTCCGACCCATAGCGACCCTGTACAGGGTTTCCGAGGGTGTAAATCTTTACGGGAGTAGAAAGCCTCATCTTTCTCCCGCAGAGCGGCTGGTAGTTTCGAACCACTGACCTTAAGGTTCACAGCCCGATTCGTAACCACTACGCTACCAGAGCTCCTTAAGGGGACAGAGTACTCTGAGAAATTAAAATGGGACCCATTTCTAATTTTCCTACATATAGAGACTCCTTTTGAAATGTAGGCTCATGTCTTAACACATAGGCCAGGAGAGATGGATCTAGGTTCTCACACTAAACCAAGAAATTAAAATCTCTGCAGGTTGTACACGAAACGTGTGACTCAAAACAGGAGAAAAGAGAGGAGATACCTCTCTCTGCCATTCTATTGATATGCCAGATTATAACTTCATAAGATTATATTTTATGATAAAGTATATTTCAACATTTGTTTATTAAGAATTTCATATTCATTCTCTGAGGCATACAATCCTTGCCCTTTTTCTTCTTGCCGTAAACTGGACTTTTAGTTCTCTATCTGTAAGCTACACTTTCATTTTGTTTTTCCTCACTGTCAAACACTTTGATTTGAATGCTTTTTTTAGAGTTTAATTCACCAAGTCTATGAGAAAGACAGTTTGTAACACTGGTATGGTCATGTTTCGATATTTAACCTGGTAGCACTAGATATTAGAAAATCTTAATCTCGAGTCCATCCTTTTCTTTAAAGACCCACTGTGAGGAAATGAGCTGTTTGTTTTTCTAAATTTCTTGGGTGGGAGCCAAATCAAATGGACATTTATCTTCCAGAGGTTGACCCAGGGCACCCATCTCTATCCATCAGAGTCTCTGACACGTCCTTAGAGTGACAGGGCCGTGTGCTATGTGTCCTACCTGGGCATTCAGCCTTTCACCTTCAGCAGTTACCACTAATGAGAGCAGTCATGGCTTAATTTCTTTTCTTCCAAACACAGATACAGAAGCTCTGGTAGCATAGTGGTTGCGAATCGGGCTGCAAATTGCAAGGTTAGCAGTTTGAAACTACCAGCTGTTCCGCAGGAGAAAGATGAGGCATTCTGCTCCCATAAAGATTTACAGCCTCGGAAACCCTGTGCAGGGTCGCTATGAGTCGGAATCGACTCCAAGGCACACACAGCAGAGCAAACACAGATACATTTTATGTAGTTTGGCTCATAAGGAAGACACACCTTCTCCTTTCCACAGTACTGTGACCATCATGTTGTTGTTGTTATGTGCTGTTGAGTTGATTCTGACCCATAGCGGCCTTGTATAGGGTTTCCAAGGAGCAGCTGGTGAGCCTGAACCACCGACCTTGCAGTTCAAACGACTTTGCGGTCTGATGCATTAGCCCACAGCACCACACATAGGATTCAACTATTGTTCACCTGGGCAAACCTTCCTTTGCAAGTTTGAGATAAAAAGTAAGCATAATCTGCCTTTTTAGTTCTGGTGTGGTACTGTATGGTAAGTACTGGACTGTTAACCACAAGGTCGGTGGTTCAAACCCACCAATTACTCCTTGAGAATTCATATACAGGATCACTAGGAGTTGGGACTGACTCAATGACACCTAACAACAACAACAACAATCATCTGCCTTTATTATCAGGCCTCATCAGTTGAGCTTCTCCAAATGAGGTTCCTTGCTCGGCTCTTTGGGCTATCTTCTGGATGGCTGGTGAGGATATAGAGGAGATAAGAAACAAAATGGGTTTGGAGGGTGAACTTTAGGGGCACAACTTGTTCACATGTGTATCCTGTAGGTGTGTTAGATGGTGTCATGGAAGTATGCATGTGTATGCTTTTGTAGCACCGGCTGACTTACCAGGACGTAAGCTTCTTCATGGTTTTGTACTAGCCTCCCATTAGCCTCTTAATGTTCTAATAGATGGCCAAGGGCCTTATTGGTGACCTTATTTACTCTGCAAATGGCCTTGTAAGTGGCTTTGTTTAAAGCTTTACCCCATCTGCCTTGGAGATCACCTGGATCATGTAATTCAATTCTGTAAATCAGTCAGGTAACAATTGGCAGCCTGCCTTTTGTTCTGCTGCCTATATCAGCCCAGGCAGGACTTGGGGGCCTTGTGGATTCTCAGGAAAAGCTCATCCAACTGGCTGACCTCAGAGACAATAAATGGTATGAACCCTTTTTTGATGCCCGTATGGTTTTTCCAGTCTCTCTGAATCCAAAGGGAACCTGATTGGAGATGAGCTCCTGCAAGACAGATGAAAGCATTTTGTTCTTTAGGAAGGAGATGTAACTGATTTGTAGATGTGAGCAAGAAACAGGCGAAACCAGAGTCTGTTTCTTGGTGAAAACTGTAAGCATGAAATAGGGGGTTTGTGTAGGCAAGTGGATATTCTAGAATATGAAGAATCAAAAAATAATATGACAGCAAAAATCAAACAATGTTTTATTAATAAAATAAAAATATAAAAGAAAGGAATCATGAAAATATCTGATCATGTTTGCATATAACCTTGTACTTCTCGCTCATTATTTTAGCACCAAGTGGGGAATACTGTGGTGACCCAGACCCCACTCACCCTGCTCATTATGCTTGGAGAGCCAGGCGACATCTCCTACAAGGCAAGTCAGAGCTTTGTATTGTTGTTGTTGTTGTTGTGTGCCGTCGAGTTGGCTCTGACTCATAGCAGCCCTGTATAGGGTTTCTGAGGAGCTGCTGGTGAATTTGAACCACTGACCTTACAGTTCAAACCAATACTTAGGTTGAGTACTTATCCTAAGGTGCCAAATGGGAACACTATTTTTACTGGTACCAGCAGAAGCCAGGGCTAACGCCACATCTCCTGATCCATCAGGTTTCCAGACAGTTCATTGGGATCTCAGACAGGTTGATTGGCAGTGGGTCAGTTACAGATTTCACTCTTAAAGTCTGCGGGGTGGTGGCTGAGGATGTTGTAGTTTATTAAGGTCTACAAGCTACACAATGACCTCCCACAGTATTACAGCCCGGCACAAAAACTCAGGGTTACTGTAGCCCAACTGCCCAAATGCATGGCTTGTTTGAAAGCAGACACAGATCATTCTCTAGTTTTATGAAGAGGGACAGGAAGATTTGGGAGAGCTCATGGATATGGGTTGTGACTGAGACAGGATTGAGGGGCCGATTTATAGGGACAGAATTTTCTATGCGTTCAGGACATATTCAAGGTCCAGCTTGTATATACCACTTCTACTGTTGATGGAATACTGACGTCCATTAATTTATGACATGGTGGATCAGATGCCACTCATATCATAAAGAGAAGTGCAGATCACAGGTCCACTTGATGCCCTATTGGCAAAGTGTATTTGGTTTCCTTCAGGGCTTAACAGCAAGCCTTATTGCAAAAGGATTTATTGTGTCAGAAGGTGGCGTCTTGGCAACATGTATTTGCTTTCTGTCAGGGCTTAAAGCAAGCCAAACCCTTATCTGAAGAGGACTTCTTCTGTCAGAAGGTGGCAGCAAAGATTATCAGGGACTCTCCCCTTCAGGAGGTCAGAGCAGACTTGATGGTTCAAACTTTGTTGTTGTTAGGTACCATGGAGGCAGTACCGACCCATAGCAACCTTATGCACAGCAGAACGAAATACTGCCCGATGGTTCAAACTAGAAGATACTAAGTCATTGTTTGAGCACTGTCATATTAGAATGATGTCATATTGTTACATCACCTGTGAGTCCTATTTGACAAGATGCCTTCTTTGTCTTGTAGTATATATGGACTTCCCGCACTGCTTCCTGCACATGAGAGGGTTAAGGGAAAGAGAGCAGCAGAATCCCCTCCCCCCATATGAATAAAGGAGTCAGCCATAAAGGACTAGGCTTTCCTTGTACCAATCTATTGAACATATCATGCCCTTTATCACCCGCACGCTGTTGGTATGATAAAGCAACATAATGGGATGCTGAGGAAAGCCTTGCGGGAGGTCAGATGGCTCCCTATGCAACTGGACCACCCACCTCTGGAAGGCCTTGTGGGTGCTCAATGAGTGGCCCCCTAGAAGCCTTATTACATAGGGCTGTTGCCCCCATCCAACTACAGATAAAGACAGAGGATGTGTTGTTAAAACCTGGTTTGTTGTTGTTGTTAAGTGCCGTCGAGTCGGGTCCGACCCATAGCGACCCTGTACAGGGTTTCCGAGGGTGTAAATCTTTACGGGAGTAGAAAACCTCATCTTTCTCCCGCAGATGGTAGTTTCGAACCGCTGACCTCTGGTAGCGTAGTGGTTACGAATCGGGCTGCGAACCTTAAGGTCAGCAGTTCAAAACTACCAGCTGCTCTGCGGGAGAAAGATGAGGCTTTCTACTCCCGTAAAGATTTACACCCTCGGAAACCCTGTACAGGGTCGCTATGGGTCGGACCCGACTCGACGGCACTTAACAACAACAAAACCTGGTTTAGGGCAACAGAAAACATCCTCCTCCCTGATCCCAGTGTCTTGGAACCAGGGGCAAGGGCCACGTGGACTTAGCCATAGAAAGTGAACCCCCCCCCCCCATATATCATGGGATTGGTAGACCCTTGGGACCAAGGGGTGGATCTGCAGATCCAAGTGAACCCTGGGTAACTGGAGCATGGCTTCCTACAGTGCACATAATCTCCCATTGACAGCAGGAAGCACTATCTTGAAAGAGCTTTCCTTTTATCACTGTGATCTATAATGAGCTCTCCAATATTGGTACATGTGGAAGCCACAGCCTCAACTGATTTGGCACAGAAGGCTTAGTACTCACGACCAGGCCAGTCTCCGTTAGTTCTAACAGTGTTGTCACATCATAAGACATTAGCATGTGTACTGCTAAAATGAAAATCCTCATAACTGGAGCAATAAACAATAGCATGATAAATAAAGAAGTCATTTAATTTGTCAATGATATTATTTACTGGGATCAATAACCAACCTTGATGGAAATAATAGTCAAGAAATCAAACCATGTATTGTATTGGGCAAATCTGCTGCAAAAGAGGTCTTTAACATTTTAAAAAGCAAAGATACCTCTTTAATAACTAATTTACATCTGCCCCAAGTCGCAGTCTTATCTTTTGATTCATATGAACATAAAAGTTGGACAATGCAAAAGGAAGTCAGAGGAAGGACTGATGTATTCACAAAATAGTTTTTGTGAAGAATATTAAATAAACAGTGGACCACCAAGAGAACAAACAGAGCAGTCTTGGAGGCACAAGACCCAAACTGTTAGAAGTGAGGATGGTGATTCTTCAGCTTATATTTACTTAGGTCATGTCATCAGGAAGGATCAGTCTCTATGAAAGGACACGTGGTTGGTAAAGTAAAGGGTCAAATAAGTGCTTACTGAGATGTACTGACAGTAGCTGAAACCAATGTTCATGAAGATGTTGCAGATCTGGGCAAGAGTCATTCTGGACTTCTTCCTCCAACACCACAATTTTTTTATCACTACAATGACTCTATGTATCCTTTCCATCTTTTTTTGATGTTTCCTGCATTGTTCAGTATTATGCCCCATGTTGTTTTAAGTGCCGTTGATTCGATTCTGACCCATAGCGACCCTGTATAGGCTTTCCAAGGATAATAGGAAGCACTCTAACATTGGGTGGCCACATAACTTATGATCCAAATTGGGACTTAAGTGAGAATAGAAAGGGGATGCTAGTAACAATTACATTGGGACAATATCAAGGAAAGTGGAAGATAGAGTTATCTCAGACATGAGAAAAAGAGACAAAGTTAATATAGAAAATAAGAGAAAGTTAATATAGATTGATCTTTAAAATAATATAAAATAATACATAATTACCATAAAAATATACCCTAGTAACTTTTTCTCCTTCTTTACTGCACAGTACACAAAGAGGCATTACATAGATTTGCACCAAAGCCTGACTTTCTAATTCCTCTTTAATCTCATGTTATTTTGCTGTCTGAGGGCTGCAGTAGCAAATTGCTATAACTGCTGGCTTAAAATAACCTAAATTGATTATCTTAAAGTTCAGGAGGCTAGAAGTCCAAAATAAAAGTGTTAGAAGGAATGCGATCTCTCTGAAACTTCAAGGGAAGTGTTCATCCTTGCCCATTCCTTGCTTCTGACATTATTGTTGTTGTTAAGAGCTGTCAGGTTGATTCTGACCCATAGTGACCCTGTATATGGTTTCCAAGGAGCAGCTGATGAATTTGAACACCAACCTTATGGTGCAAATTGGCTTTGCATTCCAGCACATTAACCCACATTGCCACATGAGGACTCCTTGCTTCTGATTGTTCTTGTTGTTAAGTGCCATTGAATTGATTCTGACCCATAGCAACCTTCTATAGGGTTTCTGAGGAGCACCTGGTGAACTTGAACCACTGCTTTTGCAGTTCAACCGGCTTTGCAGTCTGGTGCATTAACCCCTAGTGCCAGACCAGGTAATCTTTGCTGTTCATTGGTTTGTGACAACTTAATTCCAGTCTCCACCATCCCTCTATGTGTGTGCTTGTCTCACTTCAAATAAGAACACCATGACTATTGGATTAGGGCCCACACTCCTCCAGTAGGACCTCACTTAAATCTTTACATCTGTAAAGATTCTGTTTCCTAATAAATTCACACTCATAGGGATAGGGTTAGGTCTTGGACTTATCGTTTGAGAGGACACAATTCATCTCAACACAATAACCTATATCTATTCTTAATAACATATAAAGATGCAGCCCAAAATTTTACACTTATGCCTGGAAGATATTTCACACAATTCTATAGGGGTAATTATAAGTTCATGGTAAAGTTTAATACTTCTAGGCTCATCCAATTTTTTTTTATTACTTCATTCATTGGAGAATTTCTTATTCAAATTAAAAAATTAGGATCCTGAGAACAAATGGAACAAATATAGATAATTTTCTCTTAAAACCTCCCAGGGGAAATACTGTATGCTGAGACGGCATGTGAAACCTACATATGACCTGGACTCAAGAAGAACTGAGCCTACAGAGCACCCGTTCTCCAACTGAATAGTCAGACCTGCCCAACCCCTCACTGATTTGCATGTTTTCCACAGAACCCATTTCTGCTCTTCAAAGTCCTTTAAAATAGTTTTCTCAGTGACTCTGCACAATGAACAACCTAAGACAAGGGTGAATTCAACATGGGCATTCTGACTCAACTCATATGCCTTCTGCTATTCTGGTTCCCAGGTGAGGAGGAGAACATGTGGAATCCAGAAATTATGAGACTCCTGTACTCCTATCCTCCCCAGGGTCTTCATGGACCTCACCCCCATAACATCTATTCAGGGATGCAAGTGCACTCATTTTAGGTGGAGCAGGGCAGATAGGATCTGCTCGAAGAAACCTGGAGCGGAACCGAATTAACAATGGCAATTTTGTGCTTTGCTTCCTTTTCAGCTGTCAGAGGGGATGCTGTGCTGACCCAGTCTCCAGTCCATATCTTTGTGTCTGTAGGAGAGAGTGTCTCCATCATCTGCAGATCCAGTGAGGACATTAGTGATTACTTAACTTGGTATCAGAAGAAACCAGGCCAGATTCCTAAGATTCTCATCTATGATGCAGATAACCTATATTCTGAGGCTCCAGACAGGTTCGCTGGGATACAGTCTGGAAGAGATTTCATTCTCAAAATCAACAATGTAGAGATTGATGATGCTGCTGATTATTACTGCCAGCAGGACTATACAATTCCTTACACAGTGCTATATGCCCACACATAAACCGTCCTCCCAAGCTAGTTGTTTTGCAAGGGTTGGTGGTTCCAGCTGCTGCAATCTCCCCTGTGGTTTGTTTGAGCTGTTCTGCATCTCTTTGGGAGAGGATTTGCCGTGCTCAAGAGTAATGGCTTGAAAGATATTTTAGTTTCTAGAAAACTTACTTCCTTGGAATCATAAAACCATCAAACCTTTAATTAATATTTCAAATCACATCTCTAGGTCAGTACTAGGTAGTAATAAGCAAATTACTTTGTCCACAAAACAGAGTTTAAATCCCTTCTCTAAGAAGAGTTTTTTTTTAAAGGCAGAGAATTAGGCAGAAAAATAAGAGGCATATCCAAGGAAATGATAACAACAAATGTCAAGTATAATTTACTGAAGATTTGAAACATTAGTGAGTTTAACACTGTTCTAGGTGTTTACACCACCACATGTCTGTCAGTCTGTCATACTGTGGTGGCTTGTGAGTTGCTATGATTCTGGAAGCTGTGCCAGCAGTATTTCAAACACCAGCAGGGTCACCCACGGTGGACAGGTTTCAGATGAGCTTCCAGATGAAGACAGACTAGGAAAAAGGAGTGGTGAACTACTGCCAAATATTTAGTCAATGAAAACCTTATGAATAACAGAGAAACACTGACAGATATAGTGCCAGAAAATGAGCCACTCAGGTTTGAAGACACTCAAAATGCGACTGAGGAAGAGCTGCCTCCTCAAAGTAAAGTTGACCTTGATACCGCAAATGGAGTAAAGCACATGGGAGTAAAACCCTCGGACCTTCATTTGCTGATGGGGCACAACAAAAAACGAAAAGAAACTGCTGTAAATATCTATTAATAACTGGAACATGTAATGTATGAAGGAAGTATGAATATAGGAAAATTGGAAATTGTCAAAAATTAAATGGAATGCATAAATATTGATATCATAGGCATTAGTGAGCTGAAATGGACTGGTATTGGCCATTTTGAATCTGACAACCATAGTTTACTATGCCGGGAATGACAAAATGAAGAGGAATGGTGTTGCATTCATTGTCAAAAAGAGCATATCCAGATCAGTGATGAGGTACAACGTTGTCTGTTATAGGATAATATCCATGCACCTACAGGGAAGCCCAGTTAATACCACTATTATTCAAATTTACTCACCAACCACTAAAGCCAGTGAGGATGAAATAGAAGAATTCTAACAACTCCTTCAATCTGAAATTGATCAAACATGCAATCAAGATATATTGATCATTACTGGTGATTGGAATACAAAGGTGGGGAGCAAAGAGGAAGCATCAGTAGTTGGAAAATATGGTCTTGGTGATAGAAATGATGCTGGAGAATGCATGATAGAATTCTTCAAAATAAATGATTTGTTCATTTCAAATACTTTCTTTAGACAGCATAAGAGATGACTATACACATGGACCTCACCAGATGGAATACATAGAAATAAAATTGACTACATATGTGGAAAAAGATGATGAGAAAGCTTCATATCATCAGTGAAAACAAAGTCAGGGGCAGATTGTGGAACAGACCATCACTTGCTCATATGTAAATTCAAACTGAAGCTGCAAAAAATGAAAATCAGTCCACGAGAGCCAAAATATGACTTTGAATATATCCCAACTTAATTTAGAGATCATTTGAAGAACAGATTGATACATTAAACACTACAGACCAAAGGTCACAAGAGTTGTGGGATGACATCAAGAATATCACACATGAAGAAAGCAAAAGTCATTGAGAAGACAAGAAAGAAGGAAAAGGTCAAAATGGATGTCACAAGAGACACTGAAACTTGCTTTCCAGCATAGAGATGATAAAGTAAATGGAAGAAATGAGGAGGTACGAGAGCTGAACAGAAAATTTCAAAGAACAGCTTGAGAAGATAAAGACAAATATTACAACAAAGTGTGCAAAGACCTGAAGTCAGAAAAACAAAAAGGAAGAACACACTCAGCATTTCTCAAGTTTAGGGGAACTGAAGAAAAAGGTCAAGCCTCAACTTTTGTAATTGAAGGATTCTCTGGGCAAATTATTGAGTGATGCAGAAAGCATCAAAAGAAGATGGAAGGAATACACAGAGTTACTGTACCAAAAGAAAATGGTTGATGTTCAATTGTTTCAAGAGGTAGCATATGATCAAGAGCCAATAATACTGAAGGAGGCACTCACTCATCTCTGCCAAGAAATTTGGAAGACAACTATGTGGCTGACTGATTGGAAGAGATCCATATTTGTGTCCATTCCAAAGAGGGGTGACCAACGGAATGTGGAAATCAGACATTCTGTTTTATATTGCATGCAAGTAAAGTTTTACTAAAGGTAATACAGAAATGGCTATAAGCATTCATTGACACAGAACTTCCAGAGGTTCAAGCGGGATTCAGAAAAGGCTGTGAAATGAGGGATATCATTGCTGATGTCTGATGGATCTTGGCTGAAAGCAGAGAATATCTGAATAATGTTAGCCTGTGCTTTATTGACTACTCAAAGGTTTTGGATTGTGTGGATCATGACATGCTATGGACAGCATTGCAAAGTATGAGTATTCCTGAACACTTTATTGTGCTTATGAGGAATCTGTTCATGGACCAAGAGGCGTTTGTTCATACAGAACATGGGAACACTGAATGGTTTAAAATTAAGAAAGATGTTTGACAGGGTTCTAGCCTTTCATCATAGTTTTTCAAACTGTATGCTGAGCAAATAATCCAAGAAGCTGGGTTATATGAAGAAAATTGTGGCATCAGGATTGGAGGAAGACTCATTAACAACCTACAATATACAGATGATACAACCTTGCTTGCTGAAAGTGAACAAGACTTAAAATATTTACTGCTGAAGATCAAAGAGCACAGCCTTCGGTATGGATTGCATCTCAATGTAAAGAAAACAAAAATCCTCACCACTGGACCAATAAACAACATTCTAATCAAAAAAGAAAAGCAGCAGTTGAGAAATCAAACGACATATTGCATTAGGCAAATCTGCTGCACAAGACCTTTTTTAAGTGTTGAAGAGCAGAGACGTCAGCTTGAAGACTAAGGTGTGCCTGATCCAAACCATGGTATTTTCAATAACCTCATATATCTGTGAAAGCTAAACAGTGAATAAGGAAGACAGTAGAAGAATTGATGTTTTTGAGTTATGGTTTTGGAGTAGAATATTGAAAGTACTATGGGCTGCCAAAAGAACCAACAGATCTGTGTCGGAAGAAGTGCATCCAGAATGCTCCTTGTAGGCCAAGATGACCAAACTTCATTTCTCATACTTCAGACATATTGTCAGTAGGGACCAGTCACCGGAGAAGAATATCATGTTTGGTAGGGGGGAGTGTCAGAGAAAAACAGGAAGAGCCCCAGTGAGATGGATTGGCATAGTTGCAGCATCAATGGGCTCAAGTGTGGCAACGATAGTGAGGTTGGCCCAGGATCCAACAATGTTTCGTTCTGCTGTTCATAAAGTCATTATGAGTCGGTACCGACTCAATGGCACCTAACAACAACAACAACAACAACAACAACAGGAATTTACATACCTGATGAAATTAATCTCATAATAGTAGTGTATAAATATAAATATCAGAGGCTCACAGAGATTTATTTGGTTGGTTAAGGTACCAGAGGTTAAAAGCAAAGAAGATGAAAACAGACTAATACTCTGATCCCATATTCCTTCTCATTGACTCTGTTTCAACTCATAGCTACCTTCTGCACAACAGAGCAAAGCACTGCCTGGTCTTGCACCGACATCATGGCCTTTGCTAAGTTTCAGTGTTCCTGGTAACATGGCTGAAGTTTGAGAGAAGAGGACTGGCCTTCTTGACTTCTAAAAAACATTCTGGTTGTACTTTTTCCAACAAAGTTTTGTTTGTTCTTCTCTCCATGATACTTTTAATGTTTGTCTCCAACACCATAACTCAAATGTATCAATTTTTCTATGGCCTTCCTTATTCTTTGTACAACTTTCACATGCATATGAGATTATTGGAAAGACCATGGCTTGGGTCAGGCACATCTTAGTCATCAAACTGACATCTTTGCTTTTGAATACTTTGAAGAGATCTTGTGCAGCAGATTTGCCTATTGCAAAATGTTATTTGATGGTTTGAACACTGCTTCCATCAGTGTTGATGGTGAATCCAAACAAAATAAAGTATTTCACAACTTTAATCTTGTCTCCATTTATCATGATGCTATTTAATGGTCCAATGGTGAAGATTTTTGTGTGCTGTACATTGAGATGCAATCCATACTAAAGGTTGAGGTTTTTTATCTCACCTGTAGGTATTTTAAGTCTTCTTCACTTTCAGCAAACAAGGTTGACACATCTGAATATCAAAAGTTGTTAATCAGTCTTCCTTCAGTCCTAATAGCATGTTCTTCTTCATAAAATCCAGTTTTTTAATCAGCATACGATTAAATAAGTCTGGTGAAAGAATACAACCCTGCTGCATATCATTCCTGATTTGAAACCAGTGTTTCCTAGCTTTTTTAAAAATAACTGCCTCTTGGTCTATGTATATGTGCCTCATGAGGACAGGTGTTCTGGAACAATCATTCTCTACAATGTAGTCCATGGATTGTCATGGTCCACACAGTTTTGTATTGTCAATAAATAAGCCTTTGCATAGTCAATAAAATGCAAGTAAACATGTTTCTGGTATTCTCTGCATTTAGCCAATATCCATCTGATGTCAGCAATGATATTCCTCATTCTAAGTCCTCATCTCCATCTGACTTGAACCTCTGGAGTTCCCTGTTAATGTACTGTTGCAGCTGGTTTTAATTATCTGTAACAAAATTTTACTTGTGTGTGACGTTAATGATATTCCACCTTCCATTGGGTCATCTGTCTTTCAAATTGGCACAAATACACAAATATAGATCTCTTCCAATCAGTTGGCCAAGTAGTTATCTTCCAAACTATAGTAGTGAAAGCTGATGCACAAGATCTATTTAAAGTGTTAAAGAACAAAGATACTAAGTTTGCCTGATCCAA